TCTTATATTTCAATATGGTCTTAGATTTAAAAAACCTAGTTGCCTTCTGGCTGTCGGAAAATATGTTGGCGCCATATTCAATACATTTCCTTTTACATCTTCCCTAATAGCGGGGACTTTCAACTTAAAGCTAATGTTATGAGTAAGACGGTGGTAGTACATCACGGTTTTGTCTCTCAATTTAGGGCCAATGTTCCGTTTGATCAACGTATCCAATATATGATCAATGTGTTAAAGTTCCCAACAATTTCAGTTTCTTGTATTTGATCGAGCACGTCTAGTGCCCATTCGTCTTAAGATCAGGAGCAGCTCGGCTGCTAGTCATGTCTCGCATGCGTTTTTATCGGAAGAATGCACATCAAAGTTTCTAAAGCTCTGGTCGACGTAGTACTCATGGTCTGCTTCACTTATATCAAATACTTTAGTCTAAATCAGTTCACCTGATTATAGAAGTGTAAGTTAGAATTTATAATGCCAATGCGATATAGTTGGACTAAGAGGCCATTTCGAGCTTATGGTTCTCCTACATATCGCCCAACGTCGAAATGTTATGTGGGCTTTATCCTCTATGTTGTATTTCTATTTCACTTTTCGATCAGCGATTGATGCCTTGGTTGGTTACTGATATCACTATGTTGAAGAAATGGGGTCCATTATAGGCAGGAATTTTGTTGAAGAAATTAATTGGCATTTATCCGTCTTTATGGAGCCTAACCGAAAGCTCTATTTAGGACGTTATCGTTCATCTTACATAAATGATTTTTGATGCTTACGTTTTAGCAGTATTATGGCATATGGTGGCCTCCTTGTAGGTTAGTGTTTAAGTCTGGTAGACCGGAGGTGGTGGTTTCAATTCCCACCTAATGCACTGGTTAAGGAGCCCACAACAGGCCTGATACAGCCCTAGGTGTATTTCTTCGACTTTTATGTATATACATCCTCCTTTCAAACTAATTAGCTAACTACATTACATCAAAGTTGGACTAAGAGCCCATTTCGAGATTATGGTTCTTCTACATAGCGCCCAACGTCGAAATGCTTTGTGGACTTTATCCTCTATGTTGTATTTCTATTTCAGTATTCATTGTTGAAAAACAAGATTTTGGGTTGGCATTCATCCACCTTGATGAAGCCTAGCCGAAAAATATATTTAGGACTTTCTCATCCATCCTACATAGATGATTTTGAATGCTTGCCCTTTAGAAGTATTACGGCATTGTCTACGTAAAAGTTTGCTGCGTCATAAGAGTCCACTGGTTCTCCTACATAGCGCCCAGTGTCGAAATGCTTTGTGGGCTCTATCCTCCATGTTCTATTCTATTTAAGTTTTTGGTCAACGATTATTGTCATGGTATTTAACAACCTCGTTGGTCACCGATATCGGCATGTTGTAGAACCGCGACCCATTTTGAATAACAATGACATTCAACTGTTTTGATGGAACCTAACATATGTGTGATCTAGTCGCCGACCGCTAGATCAATTTGGAACTCGTCAAAGAGTTTCAATTTGTACTTCGATAACAATTTTTGATCTGTAGTTTGGTTTGCCATTGACAGAAGACGTATTCCATCAGCCAGAGTGTCGGGAAAATACCGGTCCTATAGACTTACATATATGGTACACAACTCTTTATTGCAACCTTGACTCTGCTAGTTCTAACGTTTATCACTCTGGTAGTTTTGTCTTCTCCCGTAGCGGAAATAGGAGACCATTAGTAGGAGTGTTAATGGTATCTTAAGCAGTCTCCTGATCATATCACTGACCATTGACTCTGATAGGTTTAAATTGTCTTTCTATACTTTTCACCTTTGTTCTCAATTTCGCACCTTTCTATCAGTGTATTGTTACACTTTTGGCGCTAATAACCAAAAACATTAAGCCAAAATGTGAACAAATGTGTACGTGTATATTTTGTTATTTGTTTAGTTTTAACACATTCATGTGTGTATGTGTTACCAAAACATAAAAAATACAGAAACGCGATAAAAATATATTAACAAAAAAAAAAAAAAAGCAAAAAAGAAAGAAAAAACCTTTCAAAAAACCAAGTTGTACTAAAAACATACTTTCAAGTTCAAGGATGTAATAAAAACTGTTACGAAAAAAACAACAACAACAACTGGCTCATAAAAAATATTTTAGCACGTGAGCATTAACACATTTATGTCAATATTGCTGCCACGATACATTAAGCAACGTCCCATACGTTCTCTGCTAAATCAAACAGTATTTAGGAAAAAACGTCAATAAAATTGAGGGGACAGCTGTTGGCCATTAGGGCCTTTATTGCCCTAAGCGTAACCACCTTAAGCTACAAGAACAAAAAATCAAAAGTTATTTATAATTCTTCCATAGGAAAATGTGCAAATTTGAAAAAAAAAAAAATAAGTATTTACTTAATTAAAGGTGCTTAAGCATTGAGCAAGTGATTGAGTGAGCGAGCCAAAGCCAATTTTTATATTTGTGGTTACAGTTTGTCATCAACTTCCGTTTCCGTTTGACGTTAAATCAACAACAATAGAAAAAAAACTTATTGTAAATAATACTTATTTGCTAAAAAAAATTGTTACAACATTTTTCGCTTTAGAGGAAATCTTGTTTATTTTACATTTTCGTGTTTTTTTTTCTAGTCGTCTTTTTTTGTAATAATGACTCTTAATTTACGTCACTTTAACAAGAAGAACATTGTGAAGCGTTGTAAAGGTTTCAGCAAATTTTCTCAGTTGATTAAAAAACGCAATTTGAAAACGAATCTGGTGTAAAACGAAAAAGGAAAAAAGAAGGGAAATAAAGAAAATAAGTAGAGAATGGAAAAAGTGGGCTTAAAGGAGGCTGATGAGAAAAAATATTAAATAAGAATATAAATATAAATAATAAATATTCAAAATATTAAATACAAAATATTAAATATTAATATTAATATAAATATAAATATTCATATTACTATAATATTAATATTATTTAAATATTAAATATTAAATTTAATATTACATTTAATATTAATATTATATACATTTACTTTAAATTGCCATCTTCAACTTTAATTACTATTCACTATTCCATCTTAACTCTTAATTTCCCTATTCCCTCTTCTTCCCTCTTCACTCTTCCCTATTCCCTCATTCCCTCTTCCTCTTCCACTCTTCCTCTGACTATGCCCTCTTCCCTCTTCACCTCTCCCTCGTACTACTCTTCACTCTTTCCCTCTTCCATATTCCATCTTCCCTCTTCCCTCTTCCCTCTTCCCATCTTCCTCTTCCCTCTTCCCTCTTCCCTCTTCCTCTTCCCTCTTCCGCTCCATCTTCCCTCTTCCCTCTTCCCTCGTCCCTCTTCCCTCTTCCCTCTTCCCTCTTACCCTCTTCCCTCTTCCCTCTTCCCTCTTCCCTCTTCCTCTTCCCTCTTCCTCTTCCCTCTTCCCTCTTCCCTCTTGCCTCTTCCCTCTTCCCTCTTCCCTCTTCCTCTTCCCTACTGCCCTCTTCCCTCTTCCCTCTGCCCTCTTCCCTCTTCCCTCTCCCTCTTCCCTCTTCCTCTTCCCTCTTCCCTCTTCCCTCTTCCCTCTTCCCTCTTCCCTCTTCCTCTTCCCTCTTCCCTCTTCCCTCTTCCCTCTTCCCTCTTCCCTCTTCCCTCTGCCCTCTGCCCTCTGCCCTCTTCCCTCTGCCTCTGCCCTCTTCCCTACTTCCCTCCCTCTTCCCTCTTCCCTCTTCCCTCTTCCCTTCCCTCTTCCCTCTTCCCTCTTCCCTCTTCCCTCTTCCCTCTTCCCTCTTCCCTCTTCCCTCTTCCCTCTTCCCTCTTCCCTCGTCCCTCTTCCCTCTTCCCTCTTCCCTCTTCCCTCTTCCTCTTCCCTCTTCCCTCTTCCCTCTTCCCTCTTCCCTTTCCCTCTTCCCTCTTCCCTCTTCCCTCTTCCCTCTTCCTCTTCCCTCTTCCCTCTTCCTCTTCCCTCTGCCCTCTTCCCTCTTCCCTCTGCCCTCTTCCCTCTTCCCTCTGCCCTCTTCCCTCTTCCCTCTTCCCTCTTCCCTCTTCCTCTTCCCTCTATCCTCTTCCCTCTTCCCTCTTCCCTCTTCCCTCTTCCCTCTCCCTCTGCCCTCTTCCCTCTTCCCTCTGCCCTCTTCCCTCTTCCCTCTTCCCTCTGCCCTCTTCCCTCTTCCCTCTTCCCTCTTCCCTCTTCCTCTCCTCTTCCCTCTTCCCTCTTCCCTCTTCCCTCCTTCCACTTCCCTCTCCCTCTTCCTCTTCCCTCTTCCCTCTTCCCTCTTCCCTCTTCCCTCTTCCCTCTCCCTCTCCCTCTTCCCTCTTCCCTCTTCCCTCTTCCCTCTTCCCTCTTCCCTCTTCCCTCTTCCCTCTTCCCTCTTCCCTCTTCACTCTTCCTCTTCCCTCTTCCTCTTCCCTCTTCCTCTTCCTTCCCTCTTCCCTCTTCACCTCTTCCCTCTTCCCTTTCCCTCTTCCCTCTTCCCTCTTCCCTCTTCCCTCTTCTTCCTCTTCCCTCTTCCCTTCCCTTCCTCTTCCTCTTCCCTCTTCCCTCTTCCCTCTTCCCTCTTCCCTCTTCCCTCTTCCCTCTTCCCTCTTTGTCTGCCCCTTCGTTTTCTCCCCCTCTGCTCCCTGTTTCTGACTCCGCCCTCTGTTCTTCTTCCCCCGGCCCCACTGTCTCCCTTCTTCCCTTTTGGCATAATTCTATAAAATTTCAACAGCTTTTTTAATACAAAACGTCAACTTGATCTATACAAATTATCTCCGAAGAAATATTTTGTTATGACTATTCTTCTCATATTTACTTAAATTCTTAGAAAAACGCATACAATTAACAAGGATTTGAAAAAATTTTTATATAAGTTTACAGATCCAAGGCAAAATAAACGTAGTTACTATATAATAATACTCATTGTATTCAAGGACAATTGTAAATTAATTTAATTAATTAAAATTTAAATCTAATTATCGTTAAACTATAGGTGGGATGCGTTATGCACGTGATAAGGATTATTGCACAATGGCTCATTCATGAAGCTATAGGACCAAGTAAGAAAAATCCATTTTTTTTGTAATGTAATCATTCATACTAAATTTGATACGTCATTTAAACGTTTTCTTAAGTAGTTAATAAACTTACGAGTTTTCTCATCAAAAGTTTCTTGCATTTTTAATACTCAGCTCATTACAGCACTAATGTCATCAAATCTTTTCATTACAATTTCTTAAATACATGCATCTGGTGTAAAAACTTATTTGTCTACAACGGTGGTCGGTGCAAAGAGAACTTGCCACACACACTTTTTAAAAATCTTATAACTTCCACTAACTAACTTTATACATACGTGCTGATGGCCAATAGTTCACTGAAGTCTCTGACTGCTGACCACTGCATTACACAATAACATCATCTACCATTAAAACAACTATAGTTAATATAATTTTACACAACATTGTGGTATGAAAGTGCTAGTAATTGTTGCTGGCGTCAGGTTTTATGACAAAAAGAAAACTTTATTTTTCTAATTTTTTGCTATTTAAGAAGCTCCTGTTGCGGACATTTTCTTTAATATCATTTCTTAACAAATTAGCAAATAATGTCTAAAAGTCAAATATGCTAAAGTTTGTAAAAGCAACAATTACAGTGGTTTTATTTCAGAAAAAAACAGGGTTTAAAAGTGAATTTGACGCGTAGGTTTTGAAATGCATCCAGCCCACACAAGACAAAGGTTTGACAGATTTAATGAAAACTTACTTTCAGACTTTGTAATTAAATTACAAAGAAACTAGATTTACAGCGAAAGCACTAGAGCAAAAGTTTAGAAAGAAATTTTAAATTTGTGGAATTTTTAAATGATATGGAAAAACTTAAGATTTCAATAGGCACTAAGGTAGGCACTAAGGTAGACACTAAGTTAACTAACTAAATAACTAACTAAATACGAACTACTAACTAACTAACTACTAACTAACTAACTAACTAACTAACTAACTAACTAACTACTAACTACTAACTAACTAACTAACTACTACTAACTAACTAACTAACTACTAACTAACTAACTAACTAACTAACTAACTAACTACTAACTAACTAACTAACTAACTAACTAACACTAACTAACTAACTAACTAACTAACTAACTAACTAACTAACTAACTAACTAACTAACTAACTACTACTAACTAACTAACTAACTAACTAACTAACTAACTAACTAACTAACTACTAACTAACTAACTAACTAACTACTAACTAACTAACTAACTAACTAACTAACTAACTACTAACTACTAACGAACTAACTAACTAACTACTAACTAACTAACTAACTAACTACTAACTAACTAACTAACTAACTAACTAACTACTAACTAACTAACTAACTAACTAACTAACTAACTAACTAACTAACTAACTACTAACTAACTAACTAACTAACTAACTAACTACTAACTAACTAACTAACTAACTAACTAACTAACTAACTAAACTACTAACTAACTAACTAACTAACTAACTAACTAACTACTAACTAACTACTAACTAACTAACTAACTAACTAACTAACTAACTACTAACTAACTAACTAACTAACTAACTAACTAACTAACTACTAACTAACTAACTAACTAACTAACTAACTAACTAACTACTAACTAACTAACTAACTAACTAACTACTAACTAACTAACTAACTAACTACTAACTACTAACTAACTAACTAACTACTACTACTACACTAACTAACTAACTAACCTAACTAACTACTAACTAACTAACTACTAACTAACTAACTAACTAACTAAATAACTAACTACTAACTAACTAACTACTAACTAACTAACTAACTAACTACTAACTAACTAACTAATACTAACTAACTAACTAACTAACTAACTAACTAACTAACTAACTAACTACTAACTAACTAACTAACTAACTAACTAACTAACTAACTAACTAACTAACTAACTAACTAACTAACTAACTAACTAACTAGAACTACTAACTAACTACTAACTAACTAACTAACTAACTAACTAACTAACTAACTAACTAACTAACTAACTAACTAACTAACTAACTACTAACTAACTAACTAACTACTAACTAACTAACTAACTAACTAACTAACTAACTAACTAACTAACTAACTAACTCTACAACTAACTACTACTAACTACTAACTAACTAACTAACTACTAACTAACTAACTAACTACTAACTAACTAACTAACTAACTAACTAACTAACTAACTAACTAACTAACTAACTAACTAACTAACTAACTAACTAACTAACTAACTAACTAACTAACTAACAACTAACTAACTAACTAACTAACTAACTAACTAACTAACTAACTAACTAACTAACTAACTAACTAACTAACTAACTAACTAACTAACTAACTAACTAACTAACTAACTAACTAACTAACTAACTAACTAACTAACTAACTAACTAACTAACTAACTAACTAACTACTAACTACTAACTAACTAACTACTAACTACTAACTAACTAACTAACTAACTACTACTAACGAACTAACTAACTAACTAACTAACTAACTAACTAACTAACTAACTAACTAACTACTACTAACTAACTACTAACTAACTAACTAACTAACTAACTAACTAACTAACTAACTAACTAACTAACTAACTTAACTAACTAACTAACTAACTAACTAACTAACTAACTAACTACTAACTAACTAACTAACTAACTAACTAACTAACTAACTAACTAACTAACTAACTAACTAACTAACTAACTAACTAACTAACTAACTAACTAACTAACTAACTAACTAACTACTAACTAACTAACTAACTAACTACTAACTAACTAAACGAATAACTAACTACTAACTAACTAACTAACTAACTAACTAACTAACTAACTAACTAACTAACTAACTAACTAACTAAACTAACTAACTAACTAACTAACTAAACTAACTAACTAACTAACTAACTAACTAACTAAACCATAAAACTATTGTACAATGTCCAAATAAAACTGCAGACGGTATGAATAAGTAATGAATAAGTAATTGCAAAGTAAGTTGTTATGTAAGTGCAAGTTATTTCCAAATTGGATTTGATTGATTTCGGAATTATCCAATATTAAAAAATTATTTTTAAAGTTGACACAATAACTACAAATTGTACTTAAAGTATCTATGAATAAATATATACCTTTAAGTATGTTTTTCTGAAACTCATGTTAAACACAAACTTGAGTTTAACAACTCAATCAACTTCAATTTTCTTTCTGAATTTTCATTTTTATTTCCTATTTCTGCAACCCTCTCCATACACTCTTACAAAGTATTGGTGATGGCTCAATGTTTTTGTTTAATGCCCGTACGTGGAATACGTAGTCAATCTGCAAAAGGTTTATCATTTAGCTGGTATAGTTTTCGTACATTCTATTGTTTGCTTTATATGCTGACCACCATACTGGATACAATGTTAACCGTCAATATGATAGTCCATAAAGAATTGGATGTGCGAAATATAGGTGAGACAAACTGACAAACAGACGGTTGCAAATGGTCTGTACCAGGCATGGAAAATTAAACATTTTAAAAAGTACTTGCACATGTATAACAAACAAAAAGAGTAAGTTTTTAAGTTTTAAAGTATTAAACTATTGCTAACTAGACTATTGCTAGACTAGACTATTGCTAGACTAGACTATTGCTAGACTGGACTATTGCTAGACTAGACTATTGCTAGACTAGACTATTGCTAGACTAGACTATTGCTAGACTAGACTATTGCTAGACTAGACTATTGCTAGACTAGACTATTGCTAGACTAGACTATTGCTAGACTAGACTATTGCTAGACTAGACTATTGCTAGACTAGACTATTGCTAGACTAGACTATTGCTAGACTAGACTATTGCTAGACTAGACTATTGCTAGACTAGACTATTGCTAGACTAGACTATTGCTAGACTAGACTATTGCTAGACTAGACTATTGCTAGACTAGACTATTGCTAGACTAGACTATTGCTAGACTAGACTATTGCTAAACTAGACTATTGCCAGACTAGACTATTGCTAGACTAGACTATTGCTAGACTAGACTATTGCTAGACTAGACTATTGCTAGACTAGACTATTGCTAGCCTAGACTATTGCTAGCCTAGACTATTGCTAGCCTAGACTATTGCTAGACTAGACTATTGCTAGACTAGACTATTGCTAGACTAGACTATTGCTAGACTAGACTATTGCTAGACTAGACTATTGCTAGACTAGACTATTGCTAGACTAGACTATTGCTAGACTAGACTATTGCTAGACTAGACTATTGCTAGACTAGACTATTGCTAGACTAGACTATTGCTAGACTAGACTATTGCTAGACTAGACTATTGCTAGACTAGACTATTGCTAGACTAGACTATTGCTAGACTAGACTATTGCTAGACTAGACTATTGCTAGACTAGACTATTGCTAGACTAGACTATTGCTAGACTAGACTATTGCTAGACTAGACTATTGCTAGACTAGACTATTGCTAGACTAGACTATAGACTAGACTAGACTAGACTAGACTAGACTATAGACTAGACTATAGACTAGACTATAGACTAGACTATAGACTAGACTATAGACTAGACTATAGACTAGACTATAGACTAGACTATAGACTAGACTATAGACTAGACTATAGACTAGACTATAGACTAGACTATAGACTAGACTATAGACTAGACTATAGACTAGACTATAGACTAGACTATAGACTAGACTATAGACTAGACTATAGACTAGACTATAGACTAGACTATAGACTAGACTATAGACTAGACTATAGACTAGACTATAGACTAGACTATAGACTAGACTATAGACTAGACTATAGACTAGACTATAGACTAGACTATAGACTAGACTATAGACTAGACTATAGACTAGACTATAGGCTAGACTATAGACTAGACTATAGACTAGACTATAGACTAGACTATAGACTAGACTATAGACTAGACTATAGACTAGACTATAGACTAGACTATAGACTAGACTATAGACTAGACTATAGACTAGACTATAGACTAGTTTTTTCGAAGTTGGAAAGTACTAAAAAAGTACTAAAGTACTGAATTTTCCATGCCTGGCCCGTGATACCAACGTGAATGTAAAACAAATTCTGTATAAATAATAAATCAATATTTACAGAACCATTCATTTTCACTTCTCCATACTTTTGGCATCGATTGGATTTTTACGTTTAGCTTCGAAATGGCCTAAACTCATGCGGCGCTGGCAGGAGGTGGAAGAACAATTGCCCGCTTTTAATAACTGGGTGGAAAAAGAGGAATTGGCGACAAGGATTAAAACTGTTACATTTGTTTTGATAACATTATCTTTAAGTAAGCAGAGCAAACATTTGTTGAAGTAAAGGGAAACATAATTAGAAAAGTGAAAATGTTTTTTTCATTGCAGCTGAACATTTGCTCAGCACTATTTCAGCCATACATTTTGCCAACTATTGTCCGTCTGCCAGTGATCCCATTGAATCATTTTTCCTTAATGTTATGGATCAAATCTTTTATATTTTCGATTATTCACCCTGGCTAGCTTGGTTGGGTAAAATACAAAATATTCTCTTGACTTTTGGCTGGACATATATGGATGTTTTTGTTATGAATGTTGGCATTGGATTGTCATCGATGTTTAAACGTGTTCAGACGCATATGGAAAATGTTCAGGGATTGGTTTGATTTTTTGTGATATTTCTGTTTAGTTTTGTTATAAATGTATGTTTAATTTTCTAGGAAATGAGTGAGTCCTTTTGGGCGAAATGTCGTTATCAATATACTTTGATTTGTGATTTAATCAATGAAGTAGATGCGGCAGTTTCTGGAATTATAATGCTGTCATTTGCTAATAATTTATATTTTGTTTGCATACAGTGTTTGAAAAGTATCAAGCAAGTGTAGTGTGATCATCGATAATTGAGAACAATACTATAACATAATATTTTATCTTTTCCCATTCCAGCAAAATGCCTTCCGTAGCTCATGCTATATATTTCTATTTCTCTCTAATGTTTTTACTCTCACGTACCCTAGCCGTTTCTCTTTATCTGGCCGAGGTCAATGATAGATCACGCGATCCTTTAACAGTAATAAAACAAATACCACCCGATTGTTACTATCCCGAAGTAGAACGTTTTGTTCTAGAGATCAATATTAATAAAGTGGCCATGACGGGTATGCAGTATTTTGATGTAACCCGGAAATTGGTGTTAACGGTAAGTGTTGGTCCATAACATCATTAATTTATTCAAATTGTGTAACTTATACTAATTGAAAATTAATGTGGAACTAAATGATTTTTATGTTTTTTGCTTCAACATCTTATTAAGGTGGCTGGAACAATTGTTACTTACGAACTGGTTTTAATACAATTTCATGAAGATCAAAAACTATATCATTGTGGCACCGATTAGTTTACTTTGTATGTTTTTTTTTGTGGCAAATAAATAAAATTGTTGTTGTGGTTATAAACTTTAAGAGATTTGTTAAAACATTACTACTAGGAGGCATGAAATTATTTGAAAAAATGTGTGATAAATTTAATGTTGTCATTAGTTCATAATTAGCACTCTACAAAAGGTGTTTTAAAGTAAGCACAAGCATATGATAGATTAAAAAATCTCTTTCAGAATCTCATATGTGTATACCATCCTTCGCTCTGAAATATTAATCAAACAAATGTATAGGACATGAAGCACAGGCACAATCTACACTAAAAACAACATGATTTTCGCATATGTGGACAAAATCGAGGGAGAATTAGCGAAAGGGGCTGGCAGTGAATGAAGGATTAAGAGACAACACAGAAGGCAGGGTCGATATGTGAACTTCCTAGTAGTTGAGGAATTTATATACCTCACTATACTTGCAAATAAATGCTATTTCGGCCTTTGTAATCAATTTCTCGACAGAAAAATCTTACGCTCTACAGAAGGGCTTATACAAACGGTCCGATTATATGGTGCCAAAGCATGGGTACATACATATGCAGTAGAAGGATTTTTGAGAGAAAAATATTCTGAAAGTGTTTGCATTCATGGAGAATACCGATACCGGATGAACCATTAGTTAATAGAGATTATAATGGCTCGGAGATGTTGTGCGAATGGATGATAATCCAGCAAGATAATCATACGAATATGACCGAGAATATGTCCCAATGGAAAGACCTATTAGAGGAGCATACATATATCCGAACTTGGTGTTCGCAATTGGAGAAGAAATACTGACGATGGAATCTCATGGAAATCTATCGTACGTATGACTTAAGATATAGAAAATGTAATGCAACTGTAGTATTTGCCAATGCAGAAGAGAAGAAAGATACTAACATTTAGCGCAGCCCTTGGGCTTTTAAGTTTGATGGCCTATTATGCTACACATGCAAACCGAAGCTAGACATATATGTAAGTCCAGTTTCGCAAATGTTTTTTGTTCGATTTCCTGTTTTATTTCTTAAATGTCTGAGACGACTTTGGAAAATGTTTGTGGTTTGCTGAACTCAACTGTTTGAGCTTTTAGTTACGTAGTTAGTTAGTTAATTAGTTAGTTAGGTAGTTAGTTAGGTTAGTTGGTTAGTAGTAGTTAGTAGTTAGTTAGTTAGTTAGTTAGTTAGTTAGTTAGTAGTAGTTCGTTAGTTAGTTAGTAGTTAGTTAGTTAGTTAGTTAGTTAGTTAGTTAGTAGTTAGTTAGTTAGTTAGTATAGTTAGTTAGTTAGTTAGTTAGTTAGTAGTTAGTTTCGTTAGTTAGTTAGTTAGTTAGTTAGTTAGTTAGTTAGTTAGTAGTTAGTTAGTTAGTTAGTTAGTTAGTTAGTTAGTTAGTTAGTTAGTGAGTTAGTTAGTTAGTAGTTAGTAGTTAGTTAGTTAGTTAGTTAGTTAGTTAGTTAGTAGTTAGTAGTTAGTTAGTTAGTTAGTTAGTTAGTTAGTTAGTTAGTTAGTAGTTAGTTAGTTAGTAGTTAGTTAGTTAGTTAGTTAGTTAGTTAGTTAGTTAGTTAGTTAGTTAGTTAGTTAGTTAGTTAGTTAGTTAGTTAGTTAGTTAGTTAGTTAGTTAGTTAGTTAGTTAGTTAGTTAGTTAGTTAGTTAGTTAGTTAGTTAGTTAGTAGTTAGTTAGTTAGTAGTTAGTTAGTTAGTTAGTAGTTAGTTAGTTAGTTAGTTAGTAGTTAGTTAGTTAGTTAGTTAGTTAGTTAGTTAGTTAGTTAGTTAGTTAGTAGTTAGTTAGTTAGTTAGTTAGTTAGTTAGTTAGTTAGTTAGTTAGTTAGTAGTTAGTTAGTTAGTTAGTTAGTTAGTAGTTAGTTAGTTAGTTAGTTAGTTAGTTAGTTAGTTAGTTAGTTAGTTAGTTAGTTAGTTAGTTAGTTAGTTAGTTAGTAGTTAGTTAGTTAGTTAGTTAGTTAGTTAGTTAGTTAGTAGTTAGTTAGTTAGTTAGTTAGTTAGTTAGTTAGTTAGTTAGTTAGTTAGTTAGTTAGTTAGTTAGTTAGTTAGTTAGTTAGTTAGTTAGTTAGTTAGTTAGTTAGTTAGTTAGTTAGTTAGTTAGTTAGTTAGTTAGTTAGTTAGTTAGTTAGTTAGTTAGTTAGTTAGTTAGTTAGTAGTTAGTTAGTTAGTTAGTTAGTTAGTTAGTTAGTTAGTAGTTAGTTAGTTAGTTAGTTAGTTAGTTAGTTAGTTAGTTAGTTAGTTAGTTAGTTAGTTAGTTAGTTAGTTAGTTAGTAGTTAGTTAGTTAGTTAGTTAGTTAGTTAGTTAGTTAGTTAGTTAGTTAGTTAGTTAGTTAGTAGTTAGTTAGTTAGTTAGTTAGTTAGTTAGTTAGTTAGTTAGTTAGTTAGTTAGTAGTTAGTTAGTTAGTTAGTTAGTTAGTTAGTTAGTTAGTAGTTAGTTAGTTAGTTAGTTAGTTAGTTAGTTAGTTAGTTAGTTAGTTAGTTAGTTAGTTAGTTAGTTAGTAGTAGTTAGTTAGTTAGTTAGTTAGTTAGTTAGTTAGTTAGTTAGTTAGTTAGTTAGTTAGTTAGTTAGTTAGTTAGTTAGTTAGTTAGTTAGTAGTTAGTTAGTTAGTTAGTTAGTTAGTTAGTTAGTTAGTTAGTTAGTTAGTTAGTAGTAGTTAGTTAGTTAGTTAGTTAGTTAGTTAGTTAGTTAGTTAGTTAGTTAGTTAGTTAGTAGTTAGTTAGTTAGTTAGTTAGTTAGTTAGTTAGTTAGTTAGTTAGTTAGTTAGTTAGTTAGTTAGTAGTTAGTTAGTTAGTTAGTTAGTTAGTTAGTAGTTAGTTAGTTAGTTAGTTAGTAGTAGTTAGTTAGTTAGTTGTTAGTTAGTAGTTAGTTAGTTAGTTAGTTAGTTAGTTAGTTAGTTAGTTAGTTAGTTAGTTAGTTAGTTAGTTAGTTAGTTAGTTAGTTAGTTAGTTAGTTAGTTAGTTAGTTAGTTAGTTAGTTAGTTAGTTAGTTAGTTAGTTAGTTAGTTAGTTAGTTAGTTAGTTAGTAGTTAGTTAGTTAGTTAGTTAGTAGTTAGTTAGTTAGTTAGTTAGTAGTTAGTTAGTTAGTTAGTTAGTTAGTTAGTTAGTTAGTTAGTTAGTTAGTTAGTTAGTTAGTTAGTTAGTTAGTTAGTAGTTAGTTAGTTAGTTAGTAGTTAGTTAGTTAGTTAGTTAGTTAGTTAGTTAGTTAGTTAGTTAGTTAGTTGCTAGGGCTCTTCATATTCGTTTCATTCAAATTTGTCGTTTCCATTTGTTATTGTTTTTTACAACACCTTTTCTTAATCTCTCAAATATTTAGTTTTCTTTTCGATTTAATTCATTAATTAAAAGGAAGCGAAAAGGTAAAGACAAACAGAAAAAACTATAAGCGTAAAAATCTAAGACAATATCGTAAACGTAATCACTTCCTTTGACCATATACATAACTATGTACGTATGTATATAAAAATGTACGTATAAAAATGAAAACATCCAATGTTGAATAATACATTTTCAGCAATATTACTTAGTAAGTACTGAGGTGTATTCGTACTTATGTATATTTTTTTGCAATACATATAAAACTAATTCCATAAACCACATCCAGATTCCATGCTCCATAATTGTAAGACACAAAGAGAAATTGTATCATATACCGTTTATTATAACATTTGAAATTAAAACATTGGTACAACGATGATAGCTCCTGATTAAATTTGAATTATTATTTTGCAATTTTTATTTTTCTTATAATATGCTTTCGAACTTGGAATATAACTTAAACCTTAAATAAGTGTGGAAACTTAAAAGAAAGTCAAACAGGGTCCTTTGTATTATTGTTAGTGAATATTCACAATCTGGTTCAAATTTTGAAACATCAAAATCACGAAAAATAATTTAATTGATTATTTTTTTTCCAATCCAGACCACTGTACTATATATCCATCACTTACAAATCACATTATTGCTGTTACTGTTTTTAGTGCAGTTCAATGTTCAATATTGTTTTGTGAGATAGCTTTTTGTTGTAATAACTTGATGTGGAAAATCCAATAAACAATCAACTATTAATATAGTTTTGTATCCAAACACACAAAGTTTTGACTTAATCAATGAGACAGTTTTTCTTTTGTCTTAACAATATTTACGTTTATTTTCATTTTCATGCAGAAAAAAAAACACACAAATGAAACTTCTTGTACTTCTTTAGCTGATGATGACAATTATCAATCACAGACTGACAGACTTACATATATTTTTTTTTAGTTTTTAAAGATTTGTACTTGTTTTTATTATTGGTCAAGTTGCGGTTTTGGTTAAAACTTCTTTTAATTTGTGGGAAACACCTTTTAACAACATCATCTTCGTTTTTGATATAAATTGTCATTTCCAGACACCAAACTTTTATAATTACTGTTTTATTGTCGTTTTGAGTCAAGTTTTTTTTTTTTTTTCAAATAATATTTACAAATATTTTTCTGATATTGTTTTTATATAATGTTTTGTTTCTTTTATTTAATCTTTACTTTTGTTTTCATTTAATTAGTTTTTATTGTAGTTTTATAATATAGACTTGTTTTGTTGTACTATTTATTAAATATGTTTAATAATTTAACGCAATACAATAATTTTAACCCAGTTTAAAAATAAAATAATAATTAGGCCAAAATCAAGCGTTATTGAAATGATCTTATCTTTGATCCGAACTTAGTGATGATAGGACCAAAATATATAGCACACATTAGAATATTGTTTTATGTAAATGTTGCTGGGACATATTTCGATCTATCATATTTGCGAATTAATATACTTCGACTTAGTTACTCGGGATTCTGTTCAAACCAGTTTGAATAAAGTCTGTCGAGCATTCTGAATCTGTGTTGCGATAGGGCCTGACATTGACAATAAAATTAATGATGTTCTCTTCCTCCTCTTTGTATGCCGAAGTCGTTATTTGGTAGATTTAATATTTTACCATGAAGCCCACTGCATTCGAAGTGCTTAACGTAAACACCTGTCGTGTAGGAATTATTTCACGTTGGTCGTTTTCACCCAC